ATTTGTAATTTGGCGTAATTTGTTAAAATGAGTCAAATAAGTTATTTCTTAATAAATTTAAAAAAATTCCTATTTTCATAGGATAAGTTATCCCTCCACGGATCCTCGAATTTTGCTTTTCCATCGGAAAGTACCTTCCGCCAACTACCGCCAAGGCCTTATCGTAATCAAAATGTTCTTTGCTGTAATTTGGTGCTTTGGTAATTATTAGGAAAATTCAATCAAGAAAGCTATACTCAAAATGAGCAAGAAAAATTCCTACCAGTATTAAACTAACTTTATATTAATATAATTTATACCTTCCCAACATAGAAAACTGGAGAAAAAGTATAGAAATAAAAAAAATCTGGAAGAAAATGTGAAGAAAACGTCTGATGAGAAATTCTAACAATCTTGTGACTCATAATTGATACTGGACTATTTAATTGTTTTCTTATTTATTCGGTCATTTCAATGACATTATACAAAAAAGTGTTTACATTTTTACAACATATTACATGCAAAATGTGTTTTATTTATTATTGAAAAAAAAAATAATAACGGTCGGTCTTACCTAAATGCTTTTATTCTATATTAATTCAGAAGGCCCAGCATTCTATAATAAATTTCGTTTTTCAAATATCTTGCCTAAATTAAAAGTTTCCCAGGGTTTTTGCCGTTTCAATGCCATTTCCGACCACTTTGCGCCGTTTTAGAAAGGCGAAAATGAAAAAATAGTGTCCAAAACCAAATGTAAACAAATTTTATGGAAGATATGATTTAAATTTCTCATAAAATCAAAATTGGACCTACACACGAGGAAAATGTTCAGCATTTCATTATCTTTATAATGAGCTGTTATTTATGATTTATATTTCATATTATTAATCTCGCCTTGATGTTTTCACTTCTATCGTGTGGTCTAAATCACAAACCTTATTTTTTTTTCAATTTATTACTAACTGTTACTTTAGACTGAACGTTTAAAAATTCAGGTTTAAATTAAAAAATCATTAAAAAAACCTTCAACAATTTATAACAAATATTCTTAGTATATCAGAATAAACCAATTATAATCCAATGAAGATTAAAGTACATAATTGAATTAAGAAATAGAAAATTTATATTATGATATAAATTATACTAACAGGGGAATCGTAAAAATATTTAGTTCGTGATTTCAAACTCGATAATGTTATCATGCAAGGACTTATTATTTAATGCCTTTTTAACGAACTCTAAGCTTATTTTTCTCTTTTTTTTTATTTTATCAGTTAACAAGACGTTTAATAGACGTATATGAGGCTCTGCCACTTGAATCACTAAATAAGAACGGTGTTGAGGTTGCCGAAGCGAATCAACTCCCCGCAGTTGAAGCTACTTACCATATTTACAGGAAAATTTGTCACCTATTTTGTTAGCGCTGATGGGTCATTTATAGGGAAAATACCTCATTGAAACCCATTTCAACTTTATTGCCACTTATTATGTAGCCTCTTTATTAGAGTCAAGACAGCTAAAAAAAAAAATATAAAATAATAATAAATGCGAACTGGTTCCCTTGGGAACACCATGCGTAGAATACGTAATGTGAATGTATACATGAGCATGTAGGAGCCGCTTCCTAATCGCTGGGTCGAAGGTTATTCAAAATCGACTGAGTCGATCAAAAGTGCGGGTTCCTTCCTCCCTTTCAAAAAAGACTTGAGGCTGATAACCACATAAGAAATTTTAATTTTTCGAAAAAGAATATGAAGACCAGGTAGAAATATAAATCGAAACCGTAAAAATGAAGCGTAGATGGATCCTAATCTCACCAAACATTAATACTACAAATGAAACCTAACTTTTCATTATTTTTTTTCCTTGTTAATTGAGAAATATTACATTCGGTCTCTTCTTTTTCTTCTCCTTAATCAATTCCTCTTCAACCATTAGATCAGTGTAGAGGATCGGATCCTGTTTATAGAGCCTGATCCATTTATCTCGTTCTTGCACCAGCTGACTGCGTCTATTCCAGTTCATTCCTCTTCTATCGAAATCATTCCTGACTGAACCTTCCGATGTCTAACCTTCCTCTCGGCATTCTTCCTTTCACTTTTACTTCATATATAATTTTGGCCATTTTCCCCTCCTGTATTCTTTTGATATGGCCAAACCAGCGTAGTCTGTTTTTCTCAATTGTGTTTTCTGCTAGTTTTATTCCCAAATTGCTTCTTATCATTGTATTCCTGATTTTTTCCCTCCTAGTTTTCCCCTCTATTCTCCTCAGAAATCGCATTTCCAATGCTTGGATATTGCTTTTATGTTCGAGGTTATAGTCCAGGATTCACTGCCATAGGTCAGTATGGGGACAAGTGTAATTTTATATACTGTCTCTTGACATTTTTTGACATTTCTCTCTTTACTAAGAAGCCTGTTTTTAGTGAATGGAAGCATTTGCTGGCCAGTCTTATTCTTTCCCTGATTTCGCCGTCTATCCAACCGTTCTCGTTTAGATGGGCTCCCAGATACTTAAAATCCTAGACGCGCTCGAGTTCTTCCCCCTTCAATCGAAGTACTCGGTCTCCCCTCTCGTCTCCTCTTCATATTCTCATTATTTTTGTTTTGTGGCAGTTTATTTCCATGTTTAACAGTTCTAATTCTTCCTACAGGATTCGGAGGTTGTATTGGAGGTTTCTTCCGTTGTTCCCGATCACCACGATACCGTCGGTATATGCCAAAAGTGAGATGAATTGGTCGTAGCTCTCTGTGGTCCAACCTAAATGGTCTCATTCTTTCCTTAGCTCTCTTCAGTGCCATGTTGAGCAGTATTATAAACAATGAAGGGCTTAGACTACAGCCCTGCCTTATTCCATGGGTGCTCTGAAACTCCCTAGAGGTGTGGTTATTGGTTCTGACCACGCTTATTTTCTTTTTAGATAGACTAAGAATGGCCCTCGCTAGGCCTGGATCGACTTCATCCTCGTTCAGTGCTCTGTTTATGTCCGTTTTTCTGACCTTATCGAATGCTTGGGTTAGAACCACAAAGCAGGTATATACTTCTTTATTCTTTTCCACGAGCTTTTCTGAGAGCTGACTCATTACGAATATTGGATCTCTAAAGAGAAAGCAGTAAATGTTTAAAACTCTATAACTCTGCAACGAACCGTCCGATTTCGATGATTTTTTTTTTAATTTTGTCAGCGATTCAGAAATCTTTCAAATAAATGTGGGTATTATCAGTCAAAAATTGTGTACTTTTTTAGTTATCGTCAAATAAAATATTGAATTCATCGTAACATTTTTCAGCTTGTTTTCGGGAAAGTATGTTATACACATAAATTAAAAGGGTTTCAAGGGGAAGACTTTAGCCAAGTTTCGTTAAAATCAGTAAAGCCATTTTTGCACATTTTGCGCAAAAACATTTTTTGCGGCTTTGAGCAGAAAAACATTTACGAACGATGAAGGCCTGAACTTCAGGTCGAAACGTCGGCATATGTAAAAATAAATATTATCATTTATTTTTGCCTTCCTTTTTGACTGACCACCCCAACTATTCTTCTCTTCATTATCCACGACAGTCAACCAATTACCAATTATAAAAAACATTTACATTTTTATTTTTTTTACATATATGTATAATTATCGTAATAATTATGTATAATTATTTTACATATAATTATCGTAAGACAGAAGTACTATGCCAGAAACCTTCCCAGGAGTGTACAGAACAACTTCCCGAACTTTCATGGCGATCGGTTGAATGGTTTAGTAATGCACTAAGGACAAACAGACGGACAGACAGACATACATTCATTTTTACATATATAGATTTATATCAGTGAAATGTATAACTTTTTTTATTTAATCTGTTTCGATACGACTAGAAGTTTTATTTTAATTTTTTTTTTTTTTTTTTGCTCTTTACTAGCTAGAACGTTTTCCTTTCGAAACTTTTCTATATACTATAGCTTTAATTTAATAATAATAAAAATAAAAACTTTGTTTAATAGTAATGTTAAAGCTATTCATTTAGCCCAAATTTAAGTATAAAACAGATTTAATAAACGTAGCTACTCAATCAAAGAAAATATAAGCATCAAGCAATTTGCCCAAGACAAATTATAACTTTTATCTAAGCCCATGCATTGTTTTCCCTTTTTTTTTTTTTTTTTAATAGCTTCTTCTTTAAATATTTGTACCTTTCAGTAGACAGAATGATTATTCCTTAGGAGTTAGCACCAATTTTAACATTTTTGAGTTATGTCATTTTAGTGATATTTCTAGTTGGAAAATCTATAATATCTGAACAGACAGTGAGTAAGTTTATTTCAGAGTAGGTGATAGCAGTGTTGAAATATAGAACTGTGAATAACTGTATAAACTTTCTCACTAGAAATATCACTAAAATTAATAATAAAAAATGTCTAAATTGGAGATAGTCGTTCTGTAAACTGAAATGCTCATTTATTCGCACCTGTCATGATTGAGACAAACAGCAGATTCGTTTTTGAATTGGATGATTGGTATTCCCTTTTCATTTGATGTAAATTTTTCAAAGAACAAAAGTAATTAAAAGTTTAAATTATACTCATTGATTGATTAAAAAAAAATTTCGGCAATAATTTTAAAAAGTTTCTTTTAGAAATTTTTTTTCAAATCTGTCATTATCGAAATGTTTTAAAAAGTTTCAACTCCTAATCTATACACTTAAATTTTTCATGTTCTATCATAGTTTGCGTCATACGTAAACGTTTCTGATTATTTAAATAAATAAAAAATAACCGAATAATAACTTATTAATTTATATTTGTCGCTTGTAGAACGTAGCAGTTTCAAATGACAGGTCGCGGATACTCAATACAGCTAATTGATCATAACTGGCCTTTATAAAAATTCTAATTTATATCCTTATTATTAAAAATATTTAAATACTTGGAATAATGAAATTATGGATAACAAATAATGAATTAATAGAAAACCGACATTACCTTTAACGTAGAAAAATCATGAACCACGTTTCAGTATGAAAGGTTGCATTACCATAGATGCGTAAGGAGAGTCCTATGAAATCCTAAGGAAACATTACACATAGGTTGCACTGGATTGCATCTAATATGCACTTTCTGATTTCCTTAGGAATGTGATGTGAATCTAAATCTGATATTGTGGTTTTGGTATTAATGCTTACATTTTATAAAAATTTGAAATTTTTATTTGTTATATATAATTATAACAATTAAAAAAATTAAGCTTTAAGTCCCTAAAATTTCATTATTCGATCCACATCTCTTTGGAATTCTATCCCATCCTACATCCATAGCTCCAATACCCTCCCCATCTTTTAATCCCGCCTGTTCAATCACCACTTATCCGTTCAGTTTTCATAAAATTATAAATAGATGTTGTAAATATGTATGCACTTTGTTATGCATTAGAATTAATGTATCACGTTATATAACGTTTAATTCAATTAGCAATATAATTTTCTTATTTTCTACAAAAATCAAATCGAATAATGTATAATAACTTAGAAATCCAAGCAGCATAGATGCCCATCCCCTCCCCCCAAGGTCAAGGGCGCAAGAACCTATCCCCAAGATATTTTATAGCTCACTTTTCTTAAAAATAGAGCTAGTGAAAGTAGAATTAGAAAATCGCAGAGTATAAACAACTACACTTGCTGTTCCATGTTTTCCCCTGGTCTCTTATTCAGAAACTGTTCATTCCGAAAATTCACAAAACTGTTGAAATGTGCCCCCCTCAAAAATTCTATAACCCTTTAAAATATGCCCGCCTCAAAAATGTTTATGGCGCAACTTGCCTTAGGCTCCCCTAGGCTACTCTCTCAACCGAGTCACTTGTGCTAAAGCCAGTGGAGATTGTGTGAGAGCGCTTTCACCACATACGCTCATGTCTTAAATGAAGAATCTGGTCATTGCCAGAACTCCAATATATATATATACTACAAAAGGTCGCGACGCCACTGCCGTTTTAACATTCTCGGAAGATTATAGGGATGAGTGGTGCTAGATAGGAATTGTCCATGGGATGATAGATGAAACATAAGGTTCTGGTGAAATGTTGAGAATTTTTCTGGGAAAAGGTCTAGGACAAATGGGATATTGAGGTCATGATGTAGGGTTTTGTTGTTTATATAAAACAGAGCATCGACTATTGTTCAGATGACTTTGGACTGAAAGCATTGGATGAGTTTGGTGTTTTTTGCTGTCCCCCAAAGTTCAAGTTCGTAGGTCCAAATAAGTTTCAAGATTGTCTTGTATATCAGTAATTTGTTGTCAATTAAATATTGAGATTTTCTAGTCAGTAGTCTGTATAGTTGGCCATATCAATTGTTAAGTTCTTATCTTTTAAGTCTAGCATGTGGGTTTCACGTTAGTCTTCGGTCTAAGAGAAAGTCAAAATACCGGAATGAGTCTGAAAAAGGAAGCTGGATGGAATTAAAGTGGACTAGTGGACAGGATCTGCGCCGGAACATGAAGGTAATGTGTTTGCATTTGGATTCGTTTACTTTAATGCGCACTTTATTAGTCCAGTGCTCAATCAGGGAGAAGTTTCATTGTAGATTTAAGGATACTATTTCGGGATTTGAGTTGAATGATAGGATGGCGGTGTCAGCAAATGTTCCCAGGAACGTAGCGGTATAGAAATCAGCGGCCCAAAACGCTATCAATATAAGAAATTAATAAAATCTTTCATTTTTTTCTCGTATCCTAGGGCGCAAGAACCCTTGGACATGGGTCAATTGGCATCCTTCCTCTTTCAGGTCATCCAATCCCACCTTCCTTCATACATCTCCGAGCTCCTTCAATTCAAATCCTCTGTTCGTTCCAGCAATACTCGTTCCCGGTCTTCTCATTTATACATAAGGGCCCACCGAACCGCTGCTTTTGACAGATCTTTCATTATCCGATCCTCATCCCTTTGGAACTCCATCCCTTCCGTCAATCTAATACCATTCCTACCTTTAAATCACGCCTGTTCAATCACTTCTTATCCATCCAGTCCCCATAAAATTGTAAATAGATACTAATGTAAATATGTATATAAATTATTAGTTTGTTCTTCATTATTTTTACTTAATCCTTTTTTGCAATTTTTTATTTTTTATTATTAACTGATTAATATTAGAAAGTAACTAATAATTTTCATTTTTTTACTATTACTGTTTAATTACTCTTTATTTTTATTTATGTATCTCTAAGGCTCCTTAGCCCATATTTATGTCTTCCTGTATTATTCTAAAGGGACTAGTCCCCGAATAAATAAATTATTGTTATTTTATAATTCTTCCATGCACACATCAGTATCTCTTACCGGACTATAAGTACCAAAAAATATATAAATATAATATATATATATATATATATATATATATATATATATATATATATATATATATATATATATATATATATCAAAAGTCTCTTACCTGTTGTGAAGAGAACGATCGCCTTGAGACAGGAGTACTCCGCAGAATCCACATGAAGGGCCTTCAGCTTCTCCACCTGCTCCTGGAAGATCCGGATGTGGTCCATGAAGGCTACCACCCTGTCCGCAGCCATGGGTGAGGCGTGCAGACCAGCTGCCGCAAGAAGTGGAGCGAAATGCAGCGTCATCGAACACTGGGAGGCGTTGAGGACGAACAGTTCAGACCAGACCAGCCGCAGCAGTGCCACTTGGTCCGTCATCTGCAATGCCATAAGATATTTTAGCAAAGGAGTTGAGGATGTGGTCAATACTTAAATGGTAGCTTATCTCGATATATGAAGAGTTCTTAGGATACTTCTTATTGGTTAGTTTTCTGTTATAATATTTTTCTGAATTAGTTTCACCAAAACAATTTTCATTTACATTGGTGATCCCATGTCCCTAACCTCTCCTAGTGAGTAAAAAATATTAAAATATCTACTTTCCAATGTGCATAGCATCAAATATCTTTGAGCCATTTTTGTTATCTAAGAATGCTACCAAAATTTTCTCTATGTGTCTTTTAATGTCATTATACATCTCTGATCACATTTACCAGAGATGTATATTTAGTTCAATACAGTTGTAAATTTCATAAATACAAAAAAAAAGTTAAAAGATTGGTGGTGTAAGCTTTTAATGATGACACCTTGATTAAATGTTTTTGACACCATTATCGTATACTTGTTTATCATTTGGGCCGTTCAGTTGGGTTCTAGGCAAAGGTATATTTATAGACATTAATACACCGAGGCTTGTGATATTCAATGAAAATCAATTCTCATTAGCAGACTCGAACCTAGTTATGCTTACAAATAACTGCAGTTAGTGCCACTGTAACCATCAGAGCAAAAAACATAATCAACCCTTCCTCCTCTAAATCCATTTTCATTAACGCACCCTCACCCTCTCCAAATTATCTATGTTCTAACTTAACCAAAGTAGAACTGTTCACTAGAGTGACGTTGGAATTTTATTTTATTTTATTTTTACATGTTTTTGGTCATGATGTTTCAACTATAAACAAAATTAACGGTCTCAATGGTTTTATTTAATTTATCTTGGTCTATCAGTAAATTTGTATTTTAAACAAATAAAATCCAAATGTTTTTTAAAATTATTATTATTAATTAGATTAATTATATGAGTTAAAAATCATTCGCAATATTTTTATGAAGTATCTGTAATAACGTTGTAGGGTGATAAGAAAAATGCACTAATAATTTATGATTTTATGTAAAACAAACCTTGGCATAGTTCAGCCGTTTAAAAGTCCTCTTAAGATGGTTTGAATAAAAGAAAACCGCTACTTCGATTTAAAGAAAATCTTGTCTAGTTTCCTATGAAGTGATTATTAATTACCTAAATGAAATATGTTTTTAGTTATCGCTTCCTATTCAAATAAAAAACGGGAAACTTAAAAAATATGACAAATATACGGTTTTTCTGCGAAAAATTGGAACATGGTTTATATGAAGTGTTTTGCAGCTGTTTATGCCTGCTATCATCTATTTAAATATTTTCCAGTACTTACTGGAAACACTGTACATTTGAAATAATATAAAGTATTTAAAAATTCTCCAATTTCATTTCAATTTAACGAGACACAGTGTATGAGGGCAGATTATTGTTATCATTATTCTGGTTCATTGAAAGAAAAAAAAAACTATATGAGATATATATCAGTATTATTTTTTTGGCGAGTAAAAACGAAGAAAGACCAATAAAGAGCCGCTTACAAGTACTGATCAATCAATATCCCAAGATATGAAGGCACGGAGGTTAAGATGGGTTGGGAATGTAGCACGGAAGCCTATACATAACAATAAATATCTCAATAGAAGGTAAAACACCACGTGGAAGATCCAAACGCAGATGGATAGATAGAATCAGCAAACATGCAATAGAGCTAGTGTTGCCCAAAAACGTCCAAAGTGCAAGGCCAAGACCAAGGCCGCCTAACTGTTGCAAGACCAAGACCAGGACTGGTAAAAAAAAATCGATTTTTTAAAATAAAAATTAGGGCAAAATAGTTACTTATACTTGACAATCTTAGTTACTACATGTTAATAATTGGTATAACCAAATTACGTTTGCATTTAACTCCTCTAATTTTTCATTCAGGCTTAGTTAGGTTTGTCCTATCTAAAAAATTACAGTAATATCTCTATAGTAATAAGCTAATAAGTAACTGCAAGACTGTTGCTAGACTCTTGCGCAAGACCCAGACCATGACCAAGACTGAGTTTGCAAGGCCAAGATTCGTCTCGGTCTCGCGTTTGGGCAACAGTAAATAGAGCTGCATGCAAATAACTGGAAAGAAATAGCCCAAGATAGGCAGATATGGAGCAGTCTTCTTAAGATGACAAAAGATCTACAAGGTCTGTAACAAATGGACCAAGAAAATAAATAATTTTACTATCCAAAGAAAAAAATATATTTGTATTGATACTGTAATATGTCTTTTAATTTACTTTTTGCTGCCAATCTTTTTAAATTAATAATTTTATTGTAGTACTTCTTTGAACCAGAGTTTTTTTTTTGTTTTTTTTTTTTTACATTTATATTATTCATCAGAAATTTTGTTTCAGAATAATTTTTTTTTTCAATATATCTGTTTGCATACATTTTTAATTTAAATCTGGCCTTGATTTAAGATTAAATTTGATATTTTTCAAACAGTTTCTATAAAAGCCTTATAATAAAATAATATAACAAATTTCTAAAAAGTCGCAATACCCTCAATGAAATAATCTGACAACAAAATATTTGAGCGTACTTCATAATCTTAAGATTCTTTAATTTCACTTATTGTCTGTTTTTAAAATTTTAAATTGCATTTTTTTTCAAAGGACCCTGAAAAATGTACCACATTTTAACTTATGAGCCCTACTTTTCTTGTTCCGCTCCTATGTAATATGAATTTTTATTCATTTATTACGTAAAATTTCCAGTAATAAGTAAGAAGCTCTTAATATTCTCTCTCAGGTCTTCTTATACTTACGTCACTAATTGTACTCTCTTTACCTCAGATAATTCGAAAAGTTTAAATTTAGGTATATAGTAGTTTTGGATTTATATTTGCAGATACATACATATGTTTTTTATGTTTAACTAAATTCTGAACAATCTTTTAACAGTTTTGTTATATAACACTTAAAACATTTCTTGGTTTATTTTAAATTTGAAACATCCAACAACTCTTGGAGCTAGTGGCAGAGCATCAGGTATTGTTTGACTCCGGCTTGTCGGATAGCGACGGCCCAGTTTTCCCTTTGAGTTTTTAGGCTTTCCATTCTCTTTTTCCCTCGAGGGCAGTTCGCTGTTTTACTTTGTCATGTGTTTATTTTTTATCATTTTTTTTTTACATCCAGCTTTTCGTATGAATGACGTCTCTCAACTGCCAGTCGCTTGTTGTACAAAGAGTGAAAGAAAAAATAACAAGAAAAAATCATCCATAACATATACGAATTCTCACTGAAACAATTTAAAACATGTGCTGCAATTAAAGTAGGAAGGCCGGTTTGATGGAAGCGCTTAGGTGAGATTTGACAAAAAGAATTCAGAGGAATGAAATATGATTAAATTAATTTTTTAACGTATTTCACCTTTTGTACTTGTTTTTTATTATTTTGAGTCATTTTATCCTTAAAACGTAAAAAATATGTTCAAATACTCGACATTCCAACTGAAGCAATAGGTATTCCTAAAGTGTTTGCAAAAAACCCAAACTAATTTCTCGCAACAGTATCACCACTAGTAACAGAACAAAGGTACTGCTATGACTTCGTGATTTAAAAACTCTAGAGTTAAATACTTACATTTTGAAAATTTCAAATTTTTCTAAAGTGAAATATAAATCGCTTTGTGTTTGGTGGCTTAACACCAGTCGGTTAATGCTAGATATATTTTCTCTGTATATATGCATATATATATATATATATATATATATATATATATATATATATATATATGTATATATATATATTATGTATATATATAATATATATATAATATATATATTATATATAATAATATATATATGTATATATGCATATATTATATTATATATATAATATATATATTATATATATATATATATATATATATATATATATAGTGAGTGAGAGAGAGAGAGAGAGAGATGATATATTAATTGCGAAAAGCAATTATAGGTGTTATTTGTATTATATTTATTTATTTAAGAAATGCATCAACCCATGCTGGATCATTAGCATCATAGTAGTACATAGCATTTCTTTTACTTATTATATTTACTTAATTTTTCTTTAGTTAATTTCAGTTTAAATGTGCATGTGTGTGTGTAAAATCAAATATTATGTAATATGTACTTGTATACGTAAAATCATACATCATGTAATATGCAATTGTATAATTTGTATATGTAAAATCAAATATTGTGTAACATGTAATTGTATGTTTTGTATATGTAAAATCAAATCTTACATATATAAACTTTTTCATATAATAGAGAGATTAGTTAAATAAACATACATCAAAAAATTGTAAATAATTATTTTAATTTTGTTTTAAATTCATTTTATGTGAATTTTTATGTGAGTTTAAATATTTGTTATTAATTTTCTTTTGTTAATATTTTTTTTTTAATTGTGGATTATATTATTTGTATTATGGGCTTAGGGTATGGAGTCCATAGAAATGAAATAAGTGGTCCATAAATTGGTTCACGCTATGATTATTTGCTTTGAATTACCTTCCAAATAAACAAATAATATTAGATAAGTTGAAAAAAAAAAATCAAATATATGTATGCGGGATGTTTTTCTTAATCCAATATTATGAAAAACGAAAAATGAAGAATGACAAGACAGGCGGACAGACAATTCGCTAATTAAGGAAAGACATCGTGACCGCAAAGAGTTTTCGGAGGAGCATAGTTGCGGTCTAAGGTAACTGACCGTGGCTTTCAACCCCTAAGAGAGAGAGAGAATCACGAGTTACCCCCTCTCCGCATCTTCCGCTCTCTCTCTATCAGGAGTTAATCGCTCAAATTATACAGATTATAAGGCTCAACTCAAGATGGCCACCTCCCCACAGCCAGAGAGATTATAAATTAGAAATCCCATGCAACTCCTTATTTCCTGAGAGTGACCGGGGATACCTATTCTATTAGATGTGAATGACTCACGACCCTAATGCCGCTCGAGAGTAATGCTCTCTAATTCCTCCCTACGGATGA